GATCTGACGGGTCTTTGGGAGGTAATTGGCAGCAGGCGGTCTCTCAAGTACCCAGGTCCAATACTATGAAGGGCTACCATCTTGCAAGATGGCAGAAGCAATGGGAAGATACAGAAGGATCTCACATGGAGGACAATGACATTTTGATGCTTTGTAAAACGTTATGAATGAGGCGGAATGATGGTATAATCGAGGCCTCCTGTGGAAGCCCTGAGTTATGGGGCATCTAAAGATCAGCCAGATTAATTACAGCAGAATTTGGGGGTTGATCAGAGTTGAACTTGCGTCATGTGCGGAATCCTTCTCTTGGTGGATTATTTCCTGTTACTGCATTTTGGAATATTGATGATCTTACATACCGTGCATTCACTGTTTTTCAGTGGATACACACACACACATCAGAATTCCCTTCCAATATCCCGGAACACTGTCCATTGTCCCTGGCCAGGATTTGCCCTGCTCCTTGCTTACAGAGGCTTCCCAAAAGAGAGAGTTTAAAACCTTAGGATGTCCCACCTACCAGGGTGGAGTCACCCACAGTCTTGGGACTTCCCCTGTTGCTCATTTAAAAGCCTTTCTCATGCTTCTTCCTGGAGTCAAAACCCATCATGAAGACTTTGGGGCGGAAGAGTTTGCAGTTCCTCGTGATAGTATGCTGGTTTTTCGCGAGCCTGGAATCCCCTGCAGGTAAAAAGGGAAGAGGGAAGAGGTGTCAGGGAAAGGTTTTTATGCATGCACCTGTCCCTTTAACACCACAGTAAGAAATTTAAGCCCCTTACCCTATTCGTTTCCATCCTTGGGGAAAAAGCTTTATATCTATGTACCACCAACTAAGAGAAGCGCAGGAACAAATCCAAGTTTTAAAAAGTGGCAGCCTCAGTGACACTTTGCACTGGTTACTAGTTTCCCGTTGCCACAGCAGAACAGGTGTACTTTGGATTAGTTCCACTGAAGGCACTTCAGCCAGGGTTTCCCCCTGTTCAGTTTCTGCCTGACATGCACCTGTTAAACAGAGGGGAAAAGAAAGAAAAGGAAAGAAAAGAGAGGGGGAAAAAAGAGAAAGATTTATGGGAGTCCTTGGTGCTTGATGTTCTCTGCGCGTGGTTGCTGTCTTGTAGACAGTTCATTACCAAACTAGGCAACATTATCAGTGCTAAAGCTGTTGTGTTGCTGTTAACTAGTTTGGGTAATGAAACATCTGCAAGAAAACCACCAAGCTCAGAGAGGACCAAGGACCCATTATTTCAACCCTGAGCGACAAATAGTCTCCTTTAAAGATTGTGTATTTATTTATGTCCCACCTTTCTTATGTTTATAAATAATGCAGCAAACCTACGAAATATTCCTCCCTCATCTTATTTTCTCCACAACTATAACCACTCTGTGAGGCAGACTGGGCTGAAAGTGATTGTCCCAAAGTCACCAAGCCAGCTTTTATGGCTAAAGCAGGACTGGAACTCATGGTCTCCTGGTTTCTAGCTTGATGCTTTAACACAGTGTTTCTCAACCTTAGCAACTTGAAGATGTCTGGAGTTCAATTCCCAGAATTCCCCCTGCCTCCAATCTCTTCTGGGTGTGTGTAGGGCTGTTAACAAACATGCAATCACAAATCTTTTGGATGAATAAAACG